CCAATGACTGTACCCAGCAAAAGAGCATGGCCAATGGTGTCAACAGCTTCAGTGACATGTGGAATATAATGACAACTGAAAAGAAGTGTTGAATCTGACACAAGAGAAGAGTTTCCATGGTGAGGCATAAAGGATGAGAGATGGAATGATATAAAAATTGATTAATAGTAGATAAAGAATGAGCACAGAGGGTTCTTACCGTCAGTGTGGCTGGGCAATGAAGAGGAGAAATGGCTTTTAGCCTGAGCTCCAATCTTTCACTTCATCTTCACGACCTTCATCTTCACGACCTTGTTTGAGCAAGGTCCACCCTGCTCCATTTCAGATACTTTAGTTGCTTCTGCAGCTAATTAGCAGGGTTTGTGGGGTGCTTTTTTGGATGACTTAATTTCAAATTCCAAGGGAGCACAAACTGCAATTTAGTGTACATCTGCAATTTAGCATATGCTTATAATTTAGTGTATAGTTATATTCTAATATGTGCCAGACACTATGATAGGCCCTTGATATATGTTATTTTTATTTCTTACAACCAGAATGTAAGGCGGGTAAGAAAATTTAACTTATTTGTCTTGGCCACAGTCTGTCTTGTTCCTCCAGATTTTGAGGTCTTTCCACTCTTCCATATTTTCTTTCTCTATAAAATTACTGGCTTCACAGGGGTGTGTTTTTTAAATAGCAGTATGATTAGAAAATACATAAAGGTATGTTCTGAGAACATATAAGGTTTATTTCATTGTTTGAATTCCACAGAATGTTTTAGAAACCGACGTATACACATATTGTATTAAAATTTTAGTTTTAAATGCTTGATCTTCGTACCTCCTTTGCTGCGGGGAATTATAGCATTTCTAATTAATGTAATTTTATTCAGTAACAGAGTATTCCTGAACTTTTTTCTGGTTATAAAGCATATGCTGTTTTACAAAGTCAAATGAAAGCATTTCCTCTAAAATCAGGAACAAGGCAAGAGTGCCCACTCTTGCCACTATTATTCAACATAGTTTTGGAAGTCCTAGCCATGGCAATCAAAGAAAAAGAAATAAAAGGAATCCAAACTGGCAAAGAAGAAGTAAAACTGAAACTGTTTACAGATGACATGATACTATACATAGAAAATCCTAAAGATGCCACCAGAAAACTACTAGAGCTAAACAATGAATTTAGTAAAGTTGCAGGATACAAAATTAATACACAGAAATCTCTTGCATTCCTATACACTAACAAAGAAAGATCAGAAGGAGAAATTAAGGAAACAATCCCATTTACCACTGCAACAAAAGGAATAAAATACCTAGGAATAAGCCTAAGGAGGCAGAAGACCTGTACGCAGAAAACTATGAGACTCTGATGAAAGAAATCAAAGATGACACAACCAGATAGAGAGATATGTCATGTTCTTGGATTGGAAGAGTCAATATTGTGAAAATGACTATACTACCCAAAGCAATCTACAGATTCAGTGCAATCATCAAATTACCAATGACATTTTTCACAACACTAGAACAAAAAATTTTACAATTTGTATGAAAACACAGAAGACCTCAAATAGCAAAAGCAATCTTGAGGAAAAAAATAACAGAGCTGGAGGAATCAGCCTCCCTGACTTTATACTACAGGGCTACAGTAATCAAGACAGTATGATACTGGCACAGAAACATAAATATAGATCAATGGAACAAGATAGAAAGCCCAGAGATAAACCCACGCACCTATGGTCAACTAATCTATAACAAAGGAGGCCAAAATATACAACGGAGTAAAGACAGCCTCTTCAATAGTGGTGCTGGGAAAACTGGACAGCTACATGTAAAGGAATGAAATTAGAACGCTCCCTAACACCATACACAAAAATAAAACCAAAATGGATTAAAGACCTAAATGTAAGGCCAGACACTATAAAACTCTTAGAGGAAAACATAGGCAGAACACTCTAGCCACCTCCTAGAGTAATGAGAATAAAAACAGAACTAAACAAATAGGACCTAATTAAACTTAAAAGCTTTTGCACAGCAAAGGAAACCATAAACAACATGAAAAGACAACCCTCATCTTGGGAGAGAATGTTTTCAAATGAAGTAACTGACAAAGGGTTAATCTCCAAAATATACAAACAGCTCATGCTGCTCAATATCAAAAAAACAAACAACCCAATCAAAAAATAGGCAGAAGACCTAAATAGACATTTGTCCGAAGAAAATAAACAGGTGGCCAATAAACACATGAAAACATGCTCAACATCACTAATTATTAGAGAAATGCAAATCAAAACTACAATGAGATATCACCTCACACCGGTCAGAATGGCCATCATCAAAATATCTACAAACAATAAATGATGGAGATGGTGTGGAAAAAAGGGAACCCTCTTGCACTGTTGGTGGGAATGTAAATTGATATAGCCACTATGGAGAACAGTATGGAGGTTCCTTAAAAAAACTAAAAATAGAACTACCATGTGACCAAGCAATCCCACTACTAGGCATATACCCAGAGAAAATCATAATTCAATAAGACTCATGCAAGCTTCCCTGGTGGTGCAGTGGTTAAGAATCTGCCTGCCAGTGCAGGGGACACAGGTTCGAGCCCTGGTCTGGGAAGATGTCACATGCCACGGAGCAACTAAGCCTGTGCGCCACAACTACTGAGCCTGTGCTCTAGAGCCTGTGAGCCACAACTGCTGAGCCTGCATGCCACAACTACTGAAGCCTGCGCACCTAGAGCCTGTGCTCCACAACAAAAAAAGCCACTGCAACTAAAATCCCGCACACTGCAAAGAAGAGTAGCCTCCACTCGCTACAACTAGATAAAAAGCCTGCGTGCAGCAACGAAGACCCAACACAGCCAAAAATAAATAAATAAATTTATATTAAAAAAAAAAAGACACATGCACCCCAATGTTCATTGCAGCACTATTTACAATAGCCAAGACATGGAAACAAACTAAATGTCCATCAATAGAGGAATGGAGAAAGAAGATGTGGTACATATATACAATGGAATATTATTCAGCCATAAAAAAGAACAAAATTGAGTCATTTGTGGAGACATGGATGGACCTAAATGCTGTCATACAGAGTGAAGTAAAGTCAGAAAGCAAAAAACAAATATTGTATATTAATGCATATATATGGAATCTGAAAAAATTGGTATAGATGATCTTATTTACAAAGCAGAAATAGAGACACAGACATAGAGAACAAATGTATGGGTACCAAGGGGGAAGGGCGGGTGGGATTAATTGGGAGATTGGGATTGACATATATACACTATTGATACTATGTATAAAATAGATAACTAATGAGGACCTACTGTACAGCACAGGGAACTCTCCTCAGTGCTCTGTGGTGACCTAAATGGGAAGGAAATCCAAAAAAGAGGGGATATATGTATACATATAGCTGATTCACTTTTCTAAACAGTAGAAATTAACACAACATTGTAAATCAACTATACTCCAATAAAAATTTTTTTAAAATAACAATAAAAAGAAGAAATTTGGCTTTACTTTCTTACTAGTTCATCAGGTTTACACACAGCCTATTAAGAAATTTGAACAAATTAGATTAAAAGATAATTGACCCTTGAATGTCAGCAGTGCCTCAATTTTCTTCATCTAGTGAACTTTCTTCACTTATCAGATAGAAGAGCAGAGATTTTTTACATGGTTACCAAGAGATAAATAACTTAGCTCACAGCAGCTGTGCCCCTTGCCTCTTCACTCCTTTTTGGACTCTTCCCCCAGTGGCAGCCATTAGTGGCTCTTTTAATAAATCATGTGATGTCTCATATCATTCTTGGTTCTCTTTATAGCTTTATGATCTCTTCTTTCCTTTAGTTGCCTTAAAAATATATATATAATCAAGTTAAGCCTGGCTCTTTCTCTTGACTCTTCCCTCTACCCATTTCTCTGATCAGCACAAATAAGGCCAGGAACCAAGTGGTATAAACATAGGCTGCTCTTTAGAAGAGCGGCCTGTGACCACATTCCCTTTCACAACCCATCATAAAACAAAACATCCATGGCCAAAGCATCAAGTATTTCTTTTCTGCTAGAAATTATAAAATTCATTATTTGTCTAATTTACTTTTATAACAAGATTTAAACAAAGTTAATGTTGATGAGAATAAAATCACTTATTCCAAACCCTATGTGTCAATTTGACATGATTTTTAAAATGTATTTAACACTGGAATTTACTGTTAGGAGATTCAGAAGTCTTCATTTTATTGTATAATAATGTATAATTTAAATACCCATTATGATCCCACTACTGGGCATATACCCTGAGAAAACCATAATTCAAAAAGAGTCATGTACCAAAATGTTCATTGCAGCTCTATTTACAAGTCAGGACATGGAAGCAACCTAAGTGTCCATCAACAGATGAATGGATAAAGAAGATGTGGCACATAAATACAATGGAATATTACTCAGCCATGAAACAAAACGAAATTGAGTTATTTGTAGTGAGGTGGATGGACCTAGAGTCTGTCATACAGAGTGAAGAAAGTCAGAAAGAGAAAAACAAATACTGTATGCTAACACATATATATGGAATCTAAAAAAAAAAAAGGTCATGAAGAACCTAGGTGCAAGATGGGAATAAAGACGCAGACCTACGAGAGAATGGACTTGAGGCTACGGGGAAGGGATAGGGTAAGCTGGGACAAAGTGAGAGAGTGGCATGTACATATATACACTACCAAATGTAAAACCGATAGCTAGTGGGAAGCAGCCGCATAGCACAGGGAGATCAGCTAGGTGCTTTGTGACCACCTAGAGGGGTGGGATAGGGAGGGTGGGAGGGAGGGAGATGCAAGAGGGAAGAGATATGGGGACATATGTATATGTATAACTGATTCACTTTGTTATAAAGCAGAAACTAACATACAGACACACAAATACTCATAATGATTTAAAATCATGAAGTTTCTAAAACCAAAGTTATAAATGATTTTTAAATGATTTTTAAATAACACTTTCCCTTTCTCATTAGCTAAGAAATCTTCGAAACAAACTTTTCATAAAAGAAACTTCATTGCAAGAGATGAAGAATGAGCTAGAAAGTTACAAAGAAAATAATGTGCAACAGTCATTCCACATAATGTCCCTGAAAGATGATATCAAGGACCTAGAAGAACTTATTGCTTCTCTAACCAGAATTAAATCTTTGAAAAGCACCAATATTCAGAGTCTTGAAAGAGGCAACTGGGATCTAACTAGAAGAATTATAGAACTAGAAAACCTTCTAAGGTAGGGAATTTTCTAGTTTGTTTTCCAAAATGTCATTTGTCATAAGCTTGCAAATAGTATATGAAACTCATATCCTGATTGATCACAGAATTTAAATCTAATGGAATTTTAAATACAGACTCAAAATTATATTTAAAAAAAAACTTTTTTACTGAGGTATAATTTTCATTTCATTAAAATTCACCCGTTTGCAATATACAATTCAGTAGTTTTTAGTATATTCACAAGGTTGTGCAAGCATCACCACTCTCTAATTTCAGAATGTTTCCATCAACCCCTAAAGAAACCCCATGTCTGTTAGGAGTTACTCCCCATTCCACTCTCTCCAGTCTCTGGCAATCTACTTTCTTTGTGGACTTGCCTTTTCTGGACATTTCATATGAATGAAATGATACATACAATATACGGCCTCTGTGTCTGACTTCTTTCATTTAGTGCAATGATTTCAAGATTCATCACTGTTTAGCATGAATCAGTACTTCATTTTTTTATATTGCTGAATAATATTCCATCATAAGGATACACCACATTTTATTTATCCATTCATCAGTTGATGAACATTGGGTTGTTTCCTTTGCAGGGGACTTTATGAATAAGCTGCTATGAACATTCTTATATGAGCTTTTATATGACTGTATGTTTTATTTCTCTTAGGTATATGCCTTAGGAGTAGAATTGCTGGGTCGTAAAGTAACTCTATGTTTAACTTTTTGAGGTTCCTTCTGAGCAACTTCCAGGCTGGTTTCCAAAATCTTTTAATTTTGATGAAGTTTATCTTTTTTTTTTTTTTGTCATTTGCGTCTTTGGTGTTATATCAAAGAAACCATTGCCTAATCCAGTATCACAAAGATTTACACATATGTTTTCTTTTAATAGTTATTGTTTTAGTACTTAAATTTTTGCCTTTGATCCATTTTGACTAATTAAAAAAATTTTATTTTATTGAAGTATAGTTGATTTACAATGTGTTAATTTTTCTGTACAGCAAATTAAGTTATACATATACATACATTCTTTTTTATATACTTTTCTATTATGGTTTATCACAGGATATTGAATATAGTTCCCTGTGCTATACAATAGGGCCTTGTTTATCTATTCTATGTATAATAGTTTGCATCTGCTAATCAAAAACTCCCAATCCATTCCTCCCCCACACTCCCTTCCCCTTGGCAACCACAAGTCTCTTCTCTATGTCTGTGAATCTGTTTCTGTTTTGTAGATAAGTTCATTTGTACCCTTTTTTTGATTCTCCATATAAGTGATATCATATGGTATTTGACTTTCTCTTTCTGACTTACTTAGTATGATAATCTCTAGGTCCATCCATGTTGCTACAAATGGCATTATTTCATTCTTTTTTATAGTTTTGTCCAGATATATGCCCAGGAGTGGGACTGCTGGATCATATGGGCAACTCTATTTTTAGTTTTTTGAGGAACCTCCATACTGTTTTACATAGTGGCTGCACCAATTTACATTCCCACCAACAGTGTAGGAGGGTTCCCTTTTCTCCACACCCTCTCCAGCATTTGTTATTTGTAGACTTTATTTTTTAACTTTTTATTGGAGACAAATATACATGTAATAGTTTTTCATATCTTAAGTGTAAATCCTAATCAATTGTGGACTTTTTAATGATGGCCATTCTGAGCCATGTGAGATGATACCTCATTGTAGTTTTGATTTGCATTTCTCTAATAATTAGTGATGTTAAGCATATTTTCATGTGCTTTTTGGCCATCTATATGTCTTCTTTGGAGAGATGTCTATTTAGGTCTTCTGCCCATTTTTCGATTGGATTGTTTCTTTTTTTGTTGTTGAGTTCTGTGAGCTGTTTGTATATTTTGTAAATTAAGCCCTTGTCGGTCGCATCATTTACAAATATTTTCTCCCATTCTGTAGGTTGTCTTTTCATTTTGTTTATGGTGTCCTTTGCTGTATGAAAGCCTGTAAGTTTGATCAGGTCCCATTTGTTTATTTTTGCTTTTATTTTTATTGCCATGGGAGACTAACCTAAGAAAACATTGGTACAATTTATGCATTTTGACTAATTTTTCTATAGGTGTGAGTTAGGGGGTTCCAATTCATTCTTTTTTTAAAAAAATTTTTATTGGAGTATAGTTGATTTACAATGTTGCATTAGTTTCTGCTGTACAGTGAAGTGAATCAGTTATACATATACACACTTTTTTAGATTTTTTTCCCATATAGGTCATTACGGAGTATTGAGTAGAGTTCCCTGTGCTATACAGTAAGTCCTTATTAGTTATCTATTTTATATATAGTAGTCAAATTCATTCTTTTTCATATGAAGATCCACTTGTTGTCCCAGCACCACATGTTGAAAAGATTATTCTTTCTCCCATTGAGTTGTCTTGACAATTTTGCAAAAAAAATCAATTGACCATAAACGTATTCATTTAATTCTGGATTCTCAATTCTATTTCACTGGTCTATATGTCTATTCTCATACCAGTACCACACTGTCCTAATTACTGTAGCTTTGTAGTAAGTTTTGAAATGTAAGTCCTCAAACTTTTTCTTTTTTTTTTCAAGACTGTTTTGGCTACTCTGGGTCCCTTACTTTTCTATATGAATTTTAAGATTGGCTTGTTGGTTTCTGTAAAAAAGGGAGCTGAGATTTTGATAGGGATTGTGTTGAATCTGTAGATCAATTTGGGGAATACTGTCATATTAAGTCTTTAATCCATGAATATGGGGCATCTTTCTATTTATTTAGGTCTTTAATTTCTTTCAAAATATTTTGCAGTTTTTAGTGAATGTCTTACTTTTTTTTGTTAAATTTATTTCTTCATTTCTAAGTATTTTATTCTTATTTATGCATTGGAAAGAGAACTGTTTCCTAATTTTGTTTTTGGATTGTCCATTTTCAGAGAATAGAAATATAGTGTATTTTTCTGTATCAATCTTGTGTCCTGCTAACCTTGCTGAACTTGTTTATTAGCTCCTATAGGTTTTCCTGTGTGTGTGTGTTTGTGTGTGTATTCCATAAGATTTTCTCTATACAAGACCATGTTATTGGCAAAGAGATTTACTCCTCCCTTTCTATTTACTTATTTATTGAAGTATAGTTGATTTACAATGTTGTATTAGTTTCAGGTGTACAGCAAAGTGATATATAGATATAGGTATATATATATATTCTTTTTCAGATTCTTTTCCCATATAGGTTATTACAAAATATTACTATAGTTCCCTGTACTATACAGTAGGTCCTTGTTGTATATTTTATATACAGTGGTGTGCATCAGTTAATCCCAAACTCATAATTAATCCCCCCTCCTCCACCCTTTGGTAACCATAAGTTTGTTTTCTATGGCTGTGAGTTTTTTAAATAAGTTCATTTGTATCATTTTTTTTAGATTCCACATATAAGTGATATCATATGGCATTTGTCTTTCTCTTTCTGACTTACTTCACTTGGCATGATAATCTCTATGGCCATCCATGTTGCTGCAAATGGCATTATTTCATTCTTTTTTATGGCTGAGTAATATTCCACTGTATATATATACCACATCTTCTTTATCCATTCATCTGTCAATGGACGTTTAAGTTGTCCATGTCCTGGCTATTGTAAATAGTGCTGCTATGAACATTAGGGTGCATGTATCTCTTCCAATTAGAGTTTTCATCTTTTCCAGATATATGCCCAGGACTGGGATTGCTGGATCATATGGTAACTTTATTTTCAGTTTTTTAAAGAGCCTCCATACTGTTCTCCATAGTGGCTGCACCCATTTACGTTCCCACAGTGTAGGAGGGTTCCTTTTTCTCCACACCCTCTCCAGCATTTATAATTTGTAGACTTTTTGATGATGGCCATTCTAACCTGTGAGAGGTGATACCTCACTGTAGTTTTGGTTTGCATTTCTCTAATAATTAGAGATATTGAGCACCTTTTCATGTGCCTTTTGGCCATCTGTATGTCTTCTTTGGAGAAATGTCTATTTAGGTCTTCTGCCCATTTTTTTAAATTGGGTTTTTTGTTTTTTTGATATTGAGCTATATGAGCTGTTTGTATATTTTGGAAATTAAACCCTTGTTGGTCACATCATTTGCAAATACTTTTTTCCAATCTGTAGGTTGTCTTTTCGTTTTGTTTATGGTTTCCTTTGTTGTGCAAAAGGTTTTAAGTTTAATTAGGTACCATTTGCTTATTTTTGCTTTTATTTCCATTACTGTAGGAGACCCATCCAAAAAATTATTGCTGTGATTATGACAAAGAGCATTCTGCCTATGTTTTCCTCTAGGAATTTTATGGTATCTGGTGTTACATTTAGGTCTTCAATCCATTTTGAGTTTATTTTTATATATGGTATTAGAGGATGTTCTAATTTCATTCTTTTACCTGTAGCTGTCCAGTTTTCCCAGCACCACTTGTTGAAGAGACTGTCTTTTCTCCATTGTATATTCTTTCCTCCTTTGTAGTAGATTAATAGACCATAAGTGCATGGGTTTATTTCTGGGCTTGCTATCCTATTCCATTGGTCTACATGTCTGTTTTTGTGCCAGTACCATACTGTTTGGATTACTGTAGCTTTGTAGTTCATTTGAAGTCAGGGCACATGATTCCTCCAGCTTTGTTCTTCTTTCTCAAGATCGTTTTGGCTATTCAGGGTCTTTTGTGTTTACATACAAATTTTAAAATTATTTGTTCTAGTTCTGTGAATAATGCAGTTGGTAATTTGATAGAGATTGCATTGAATCTGTAGACTGCCTTGGTTAGTATGCTCATGTTAAATAATATTAATGCTTTTGATCCAAGAACACGGGATATCTTTCCATCTGTTTTGTTGTCTTCAATTTCTTTCATCGGTGTCTTCTCATAATTTTTGATAGGTTTATTTCTAGGAATTTTTTTCTTTTTAATGTGGTGGTAATGGGATTGTTTCTTTAATTTCTCTGATAGTTTAGTGTATAGAAATGCAACAGATTTCTTTATTTTAATTTTTATCTTTCATCTTTACCAAATTCATTGATGAGCTCTAGTAGTTTTCTGGTGGTGTTTTTAGGATTTTATATGTATAGTATCATGTCATCTGCAAACAGTGACAGTTTTATTTCTTCCTTTTGAATTTGGATTCCTTTTATTTCTTTATCTTCTCTGATTTCTGTGCCTAGGGCTTCCAAACCTATGTTGAATAAAAGTGGCAAGAGTGGGCATACTAATCTTGTTCCTGATCTTAGAAGGAATGCTTTCAGCTTTTCACCACTGAGTATGATGTTGTGTGTAGCTGTGGGTTTGTTATATACAGCCTTTATTATGTTGAGGTATTACTTCTTCCTTTCTAATCTGGATGCTTTTAAGTTATTTTTCTTGTCTATTGCCTTGACTCAAACTTCCAGTGCAGTGTTGAAAGAAAGTCGTGAGAAACAGACATCCTTCTTTTGTTCTTGATCTTAGGTGGTGGGGGGGGTGGGTTGAGTCTTTTACCATTAAGTATGTTTTTAGCTATGGGTTTTTTGTAGATGTCCTTTATCAGGTTGAGGAAATTCGCTTCTACGTTTGTTGAGTGTTTTTATCATTAAAATGTGTTGGATTTTGTCAGATGATTTTTCTGCATTTATTGGGATGATTGTGTGGTTTTGTCCTTTATACAATGCGTTATTCTTAGACCCGTGGTTACTTAATTGGTTTACAAACAGAGGAGATATTTGATCATGTGCCCTTGGTTGATAGGAGGAGAAACAAAGTGATTAATTTTCCCTCTTATAATATGAATAATATTTAAGTAAGTCATACAATATGAAAAGCTATTGTATTCAGATGTGAACATGTATTCAGTTGTGAAGCTGTTTCTATTCTACTTTAGTTAGTATATATTGCCTCAATGAATAGGTTGAAGTTTCTTCTGGGTCTTGCATTTCCAAAATCTCTTTTAAAAAGAAACTATATAGGATCTTAAAACTAAGTGATAAAACAAACCTTTACTCAGGCTGAGAAATTATTAAAATTAAAGGCTAGCAACAGGGTTCTACAGTGTATGAAAAAAGAAGAAGTTCATCTGAAGAACTGTTTAAAAGAAATTCATCATTCCAATAATTATCTTCTCAGTGATAAGCTACCATCTGAAGTTGGTCTATAGTTTAACTCCTAACAGCTGACCAAACATTGCAGACTCTTCAGCACAATTTTTAATATGGCTGTAGAGTGAGTCACTCTGGACTTTTTGTTTTGTCTTTGATGCCAACAAGGAAGATGGCTATGTGGCATACTGTACACTTTTCTTTTTTCATATTTATGTTCATGTTGAAGAGGAAGAGAATTGGAAGCTGTTCCTATGGAGTGAACTCTGGAGGAAACTTGGGACAAAGGATTGTTCTTAGGTCGTATCTGGTCCTCAGCCCCTTTAGCTGTCCTCTCTTTGCATTTAGTGCAGTTGGGAATAAATTTTCAGACCCAGTACATTTTGCTTTTGTTCTATTGGTTACTGAAAGAGGTATGTTGAAATCTCCAATTATGATTGTGGATTTGTGCCTCTCACTTTTAGTTCAACTTTTGCTTTATGTATTTTGAAACTATTTGCATTCTAATATAGGATGTCTATATTTTCTGTTGAATTGTCACTTTTATTATTATAAAATGTCCCTTTTATTTATTTATTTGTTTATTTATTTATTTATTTATTTGTATCTATCCTGCTTAGGATTTGCAGAACTTACTGAATCTATCAATTGATGTCTTTCATCAGGTTTCGAAAATTCTTGGGAATTATTATTTTTTAAATATTGTTTCTGTCCCATTCTGTGTCTACTCTCATTCTAAACTACAGTTGCAGGTGTTAGACATTTTGAGTGTGACCTACATGTTTCTAATATAATTTTTTTAATTAAAATTTTCTCCTTAGATAATTCAGATAGTTTCTTTGATCTGACTCAAATTCACTAATTCTGTAGGATGCAAATCTTAGATAGAAGAGAACATAAAAAGCATGGAAGATGGACTGAAACTTTAACCTAACCTCAAGGTAGAAAATGTTACCAATACCTACCAATGGTTAATCAAAACAAGAACCAAATAATTAACTGTTTGTATACTTGATAATAAAACAAGTTTTTACATATTCTATTCTCTATTGCTGTATTATTATTTCTAATTCCTTTACCCCTCATGCAACCCCATTCAGGGATTCAGTTGAAGAACCCATGCAAGTGTTACTAAAATGGGAGTACATTTCTCCCTCATCCCTTGTCCCTCAGTGTCTACAGGAGATCGTTCCAGGACCCCTGAGGGTACCAAAATCTGCAGATGCTAAATCCCTTATATAAAATAGTATAGTATTTGCACATAACCTATGCACATCTCCTGTGTACTTTAAATCATCTCTAGATTACTTCTAATGCCTAATACTATGTAAATGCTATGTAAATGGTTGCTGGTGTGAAGCAACTTTAAGTTTTGCTTTTTGGAACCTTCTGAAAAGAATCTTTGTGAATATTTTCAATTCATTGTTGGTTGAATCCATGGATGTGGAACCCTCGAATACAGAGGCCCACTGTGCTTGTACACATGTGGAACCTCCTGATCATCACAATATTACCATAGTAGCAGACAGATATTCATACTCAAATTTCCTCTTGAAAAGGATGGTTTCAAAATTGACCTCCCCCAGGGGAACGACTACAGTACTTAACACTGGATTGTTTTTCTCTTCATTTCTCTACCATTTCTTGTCTCTCCCTAGAAATAGTTGGGTAACTGCACAGCTCTTTTCATAAGAAATACATTTTTACTTGATACACATGTTTAATATACTTTAAATGGGGGATATTTCTTTTTATTATTTTAATTGAAATTTGAAAATTGGTTTCAAGATACCGTTACCTGCCAATATCTTACACAGAGTACATCTGATTGAAAGAAAAAAAGCAGAGCGAAAAGTAGACCTTTTGGAGAAAAAGTTAGCAGGTGTTAACAGATTCACCCCTTATATGAGTATGAAAGAACAAGAAGACAGTTTCATGATGAAGGTGAGAACAAATTTTGATTGATTTTTGAAGAAACAGGATTTTTTATTACCTTGTGTTACTCCAGATGATAATTGGCAAATGTTGAGTGGTTTATTGGTCCTCTTCTTATGGAGGATAAAAGGAAGCAGTACAGCGTGGCAGACTGGAAGAGCTTCTGAGGTATGGAGAAAAAGTGGAAGGCAGATCTGAAGGTCTCTGTGATACTAAAGAAAAGTTTAGAGGGAATGGAGCTTTGAGAGAAATGGGAGGAGGTGGTGGTTAGAGAGTGAAATATTCAAGTTTTAAATTTCTGGTATGGGTTAGTTCCTGCTGCTGACAACATCTGGGTTTTTGGAGTTGGGTGTAAGGATTGAATAGGGGTGTAGGTGAAAGTCATTGAAACTGAAGCACAGGAGTCACAAAACTAAACTGGTGGATCATCTACACTGGACATTGAAATCTAGAATTATGGCATGAGTTGGGTTTAGAAGGAAGAGGTTATCCTGGTCCCTAGTAGGCAGCAATTCACAGGATGAATGGAAGTTTTATGGAAGAATGTTGGAGGAGGATGGGAGATGGACTACTCTCAAGGAAGTGGTAAAAGTTTATTTTGAAATCCATGGACCCAAACTGTTTATTATATATTCTGAATGTAAAATAAGGCCCATCATGATCCCCTTAATGTGAGGAGTTCTACTTAAAAAAATTCAGCAACTACTTTCAGAGTTTAAAGTAATTCCAATTTTTAATCACCTCTTTCAAGTAATTCACAGTAACACTTTCCATGTTTTTGACTTCTCTGACTTATCTGTCACATCTCCGAAAACCTCTCCCACATCGGAGTCCATGTAGCTCTGACCTTTTCTTCCACTGCTCTTTTATTCTACCTCTTTTTTCTGGGCTTTTAGTGAGACAAACCCATCATTACTTCAACAACTCTAGCTCCCCTTCTATTTCCCAGTTTCACATGACGAAAAGCCCAGAAACTAAACTTGTTACAGTTTTCAGAATAGAAGGTGGCAAGAGGTGAAAAGAAGACTCGAATTTATAAAGGCAGAATATTCCTGGGAGAAGTCGGGGGATGGAGAAGTACAAGCATTATCTTTTATTTTTTTCCTATTTACAGTGGAAGCAGGGTGCTTAAAAGGGAAAGGCTGGGGGAAAGAAATGTGAGTTATTTATGCTTTTACATTATCAAAGCTGTTACTATTAAATGATGTTCTATAATCATAATTAAGTCGTTATGAAAATATCCATTTCCCTGCCAGCTTTTCACTTAATAGTCTTAGCATTCATTGACAATCCTTGCCTGAATCAGTTATTTTGTTAGGAGAAGTAAAATGCTGAGTTTTAAAATTCTATCATTATTCCTACATTTATTAGCTCAAAATACTCTGTAAACAGTTCCTCCATAAACTGGAGCAGTTCGGTTGGCTGCTTCTCTAAGCTAAATTTCCTATGTTCTCAAAGTAGTTTCTCTATAACATCTTTTTTTTTTGCCCTCCCCACCTGCCTCCACATAATATTTTAATACCTCTTGATGTTCTAGTTTACCCTGTTGAGTATGTCCTTGTCTCTTTTATGACTCTGTAACTCTTTATTTCTATTGAGAGCCTTTTCTCCTGAAGCTTTGTATTATGACTATACTTATATTTCAAAAGGAGGGAAGTAGATGTCTCAGTATTAAATTCCATATGGGAAGTTTAACATGTGTGTCGGCATATTTACGACAAGGATGAAGCTATCCTGGTTAAGAACTTTGAGAGAGACAACATTTTTCACTCTGAAGGACCAAAAGATGGACAGAAAATTTGGGATAAATGTCAACAATATTTGATCCATAAGGAAAAACAATTACCTGAGTTAGACAGACCTCCGTATTCATTCAGCTGGGAAACTAAAACGGTGCCATCCCTCTATCAGAAATTCCTCAGTCAGTTGTCTACTCTTCCCAGCAACAGTGTTGAACCCATACCAGCCACAGAGGAAGGTGTGAAAGAGAGCGTTCAGGAGACTGATGCAAATGAGCAATCTTGGAAGTCCATAAGTGTATTGACAGATGAGTTACTCTTTCAAATTAGTTTTAAGGTGTGGGTTTTGATGTTAGCCGATTTAGTAAACTCTGTGGCTCTGAGTTTATTTTTATTACTACAGTGATAAAAGGGAAGAGGATGTCCATTACCACAGTAGAGGCAGTATAGTGTGTTTGTTAAGAGCCAAGAGGCCTGGTATGAATCCCAGCTCTGCCATTAGCAAGTGTGTGCTCTTGGGCAGGTTACTTTTGCTCTCTGTGCCTCAGTTTCATTTGTAAATTTTAGCAGGAGTGGGGGTAGGGTTGGGGTAGGTTTAGTTCCTGTCCCACAGAATGGTTGTAAGGATTAAATGGATTAATACATGATAAATGCTTCAGTTCAGTAAGCTCAATGAATGCTAGCTTAAAAATAGTGGTGTGGTGAGGATAATGTTTCCATCATGATCAAACACTGGTCAGTTCAGTCAGTGTAGTAAAATAAATTATTGTCAGAGTCATTTGTTTGAATTTACTGGTCAAGTCTATCGAAAGATTGATCCAGCAAGTTTAAGTGGATATATCTCCTTGTTATGTCCAAATCATTTTAGTAAAATTTCATGACTCTTCACCCTAAAATTCAGATGAAAATAGGTATTGCTTAAATTCAATGTGTTAGTAAAACCTACTATACAGTAGTCTGTTTATTGTACAGTTACAAATTTTTTACGCTCTGCTCTCTTAAAATTCATTATACAGTTTTATTTCTCAGTACTCACTAAAATGTCTTATTTTTATATATCAAACCTTTCTGTTTCTTTTTTAAAAACTAGCTTATACATGTCAAATCTTTTTAAATGTCTTCCCCTTTCATCTATTTTAGTAACTTAATGTTACTACAATGTCAATATAAGTAGAACTTGCAAATAGTTTTGAAAAATACAAATCATGGACCATCAGGATGTTTTATCTATTTTTTTTCCCTGCAGAGAGCTGAAGGCCACCAGCAGGAAGTTCAGATGCTCACTAAGCAATTGGAGAAGCAGTATCATCACTGTGAAGAAACTGCTGGAGAATCATCTGACACCGAGGAAAAGTATAAGGAACAAAAAAGACCCTTGAAACGTCTGGAAGGAAAAATTGCTATTAATGATCTTTTTCCAGGGAGATTAGACTTGGACACGAACAAAGTAAGAATTTCCTGAAGTATAAGGCATTTCTTTGACAATGAAAATAATCATCTTTTATTATACTATCTAATGTTCAAAGCTGTTAATGCTATTTGTAGTTTTCTTAATATTAGGAAAGGGAGGAAATTTTGCTACAAACTTTTGAACGTTCTGATTGTATCAAAAAGCCTTTCCTTACTCCATATCTCCCATTTCTCTGCTGTATATATTTGATATTTATTGTAAGCATTGTTAACATATTTCTTAATGTACTTTTAAAAGAGGGTTAGAGGGAAAGGAGCTCAAAGGAATGACTCTCTAAAGGAGGAATTTCAGGTGTACTGTGTCAGCTAGATATGATGGGCATTGGGAAGGGGCTGTTGGTGAAATTCCTCAATAATTACCTTGTAGACAATTTCCTTCTCTATTTTGTGCTTCTCTGCATCTATAAGGAAAAGATCAAACCTAAAAGTGGAATGGGAATAGGTAGGATGATTTTCGGGAGATTTTGATTCTATTTCACTACCTCTTCACAGAATTGCTTGTCATACCCATACCTATATTATACTATTTCTATAATTACTGTGCCCCAAAGCATAAACTTACTCACTCACTACTCACTCATTTAGTCTCTTATTCCATTAATTCATTCATTGATCCAATATATTTTGATCACTGAGGTTTTGTTTTAATATAGAACATTAAAAAATTTTTTTTTTAATTTTATTTTTGGCTGCATTGGGTCTTCATTGTTGCACGTGGGCTGTCTCTAGTTGCGGCGAGCAGGCCTTCATTGTGGTGCGCGGGCTTCTCATTGCAGTGTCTTCTCTTGTTGCGGAGCACGGGATCTAGGCGCACAGGCTTCAGTAGTTGTGGCACACGAGATGTAGGCGCACGGGCTTCAGTAGTCGTACCACATGGGCTCAGTAGTTGTGTCTCGCAGGCCCTAGAGTGGAGGCTCAGTAGTTGTGGGGCACAGGCTTAGTTGCTTCGTGGCTTGTGGGATCTTCCTGGATCAGGGATCGAACCCGTGTCCCCTGCATTGGCAGGCGGATTCTTAACCACTGCACCACCAGGGAAATCCTGATCACTTGGTTTTTTAAAACTTCTAGCACCTGGTGAAGTGGTATCGAAAATGTACTCCACAGAGTCCAAAGATGAATCCAGCTTCTACCTCTGCTCTTGAATATGTAATTGATGATGATTCATTTCCATGAAAATTTTTAAAATACTATATTAAATTTTAAGAATATACAAATAGCGCATGTTTTCCGCAACCCTTGAAACCATGTTAAAAGGTTTGAAGGAAACAATAATAATCTCTAACCCCCTTTCTGCCTATTTCATGTTGGTAACGAATGTGTCTATATCTTTTACAACTATTGCAATGATTATGGAAATATATGAATATATATATGTAGCTGTTGGTATTTTTACAAAACTGGGACTGTACCAGTCAAAATACTCTTCTTACTTGGTAAGAAGTAGGTACCTCATGGTCTTTCCTTAGGTCAAAAGATATAGATTTAACTTATTCCCTTAACAGCTGTACGGTATTCCATACTGTGTATATAACTTATTTATTCAACCAATTCCCTATTAAGAATTATTGATGGTCCTTCTCTTATTTCCACTTTTTATGCCACTACAAATAATGCTGAAATAAGTATGTCTATACATATATCTTTCCACACTGGTGCTTCCTCCCACTATGGGATTGAGTTCTAAATGTGGAAATAGAGGATCACAGTGTATGAGTATTTTCTTTTTAAATTTTTTCTTTGGCTGCGCCACATGGCTTGTGGGATTTTAGTTCCCCAACCAGGTATCGAACCTGGAGCCCCGGCAGTGAGAGCTTTGAGTCCTAACCACTGGATTGCCAGAGAATATCCTGAGAATTTTAAAGTTTAATAGCCATTGCCAGAACACTACCTTGCAAAAGGCAGGAGTTCACTTTCCAAATAGCAATACATGAGTGTTTCCTCTTCACATCCTAGCCAGCATTGGATGCTGTCATCCTTTTAGAGTGCGTGTTTGTGCGAGTTAGGTTAAAATGGTACAGTTTTTACATTTACCTTACTACTAGTAAGGTTGAGTAACTTTCTTTTTTAATGCTGTTGACCACTTGGTTTCCCTTGCCTCCCCACTCCTCACAATTGGACCTCAGATACAGAAGGTTGAGTTAATCAAAGTCCACGGTTTTTAATGCATTAATTTGGGCCATGGAAGGTCTCTCTCTTATTTATTTATTCTTTCCTTGGATCTTGTCCATTGCCTCCCCAAAAGGAAATCAATCTAATATGTTTAATGTGTATTTCTTTGTTTATATGTGTTTCTTTAAATGTAATTTTTGTGCATGTATTTTAAATTTGCATAAGTGGTATTGTGTTAAAAATCTCATTCTAGGGCTTCCCTGGTGGCACAGTGGTTGAGAGTCCGCCTGCCGATGCAGGGGACACGGGTTCGTGCCCCGGTCTGGGAAGATCCCACATGCCGCGGAGCGGCTGCGCCCATGAGCCATGGCCATTGAGCCTGCGCGTCCGGAGCCTGTGCTCTGCAACGGGAGAGGCCACAACAGTGAGAGACCCACATACCGCAAAAAA